TTCAAGGTAGACGTGCCGCACCGATTCCGTCCGCACCAGTTCATGTCGCCGACGTTCTGCGACCACTGCGGCGCTCTGCTTTATGGATTCTTCCAGCAGGAGCTCAAGTGTGAAGGTACCATCTAAAATCAGAAGAGCTTCGCTGCAAAATAAGGCTTGAAATGCATGAAAAAAAGCGAAATAAAGGAGGGTGATAAACAGTCAATAGGCTAGTTTCCTAAAAAATCTTTTAGTCCGTCAATTTTATGATCAAAAAATATTGGACACGTATATTTTACACGTATACAAGTAATTACGAAATTATGGTACGTTGAAGTTCCGCGTGACGTCACAGAGCTACACTTTCAAGCACTCCTTGATGTCACGTACTTACCTCTTCTTTTGAACTTTGGCGCGTTTCATCTCTTTCAATTTTCATTATTTTGAAAAAGTAAAATACACGTATCGAGTACGTTTTGACGGACTAATTCAAACTCTTGCTTTTTAACTCAGGAAACATTCCTATTGCATAGATAAACCCTTTCAAAAAGAATTCGAACCTATTTCAAAATGAAGGGTCCACTAATTAATGATTAATATCTCTTTTCTATCTATTTTTAGAGCAATTGTTTTTAATTTCCTTAGATGAAAAGAAAAATGAAAGAAATGAAATTAGAAAACGAAAGTTTGACAAGTATATTATCTTTTTGTTAAATCAATTAAAAAAAGCCCAAAAAAGGACATAGCTATCATTATTGCAGTGCAGTGGAGCCTTCTTATGATACAAGTACTACTTGAATTAAGTAATAAATAGCTTTTCCGGTGTGTGTTTGTCATATACGAGATGACACGCGTGCTTTATTTTGCACTTTAAAATAAACCAAGCATCGCAGCTTCAGCGTGTTTGTTGCTTGCTCGTACATTACTGCTTTAAAAAAAACTGAAAAAGCCCTACGGAACAGCCACATCTACATTTTTTTCTAACCAGGGACATAGAAAAAAATATTGAGGCGTGACCTCCCAGTATTTGAGATGCCTAAAAAAAGTCGAATTACTTTAATGTGCAAGATGTGTGTTGCCCATGCATTGGGCGTTTCAAATTAACAAACTATTGAAAAAATTGTTTCAAAAACAGTAAGTAATAACTTAATGTTTTTGAAACAATTTTTTATGCTATTTTACGAATCGACGGTGTAAAATAGCTGAAAATTAAAAATAGTCATTGACGTGTTAAGTTTGATAGTAACTTCTTATCTTTACTGTAAGATGTGTTCTCATTGTTCGATGCAGTCTACATTAAATCTAACCTTACAACCAGTATGCATTACACACTTCAGTGCCAGTAAATGGTAAATCTGGGTTTTATTTTAACTATTAAACACATACCTACTAATTATTGGTTAAAAATGCATGGAAAATTACAAATGAGTGGCAATTCAGTATAAATAGCGCCCATAATTTACACACATCAAATACATTCTTTAACTTATGACAAACTTGAGTATAAAGGTTTTTACAGATATTTCTAGGTAAAGGCAGATATTTGCTGCAGAGATGATGTTGACTTCGCTTAGTTCCACCAACGCCTGATACAGATTTTATTGTTCTCCAACTCAAGCTAGCTTTGCGTTTTTCTCAATGAAAAAAAAATCAATGAGATCAGAGAAGACCTCGCCAGATTTACGCCGCCAGTGACTCAGCTGTCAGTAGTTTTGTATTTATGGTGTTTCAGTTTATTTTCAGCAAATAAACCTACACAAATCGTAAGCAACGACTTCGGTAGCTGCCGAAGATGGCAGTAGAAGTGGTAACTGGCAACCGCAGTCTCTCTCAAGGTGTCTTGCATAAAGCATGTTTTGCATAAAATCAAATGGGTCATCAAACGTCGTACTAATGGTTGTACCTACTTCTAATGTCAAAGTATTTTTTTCAGGTGTCGATTACATAACTCCTAATATTATCTAATTAGAGCTCCGTTCGCTTTCTAAGAGAACGCGATTCTCCCAGAAATGGATAGGTAACGAATGTAATCCAGGGCATCTTCCGCACTCCCATGTTATGACACAGACAGTTACTGTGGAAGTAACTGTCCATGAAAATCATCAAGTTAAAACATAACCCTCTTTCTGACGCAGTGGGGTAAAAAAGAGAAGCCACTTAATTCAGTAATTTGTTTCAGTTAGGTGACGTCGAATGTTGATGTATAATATCAAATTCTAGAGTAATGTACACACGACAGCTGATCAGGCTACCCATTTGTGTTGCAAACTCGCCCTCTATTACAACTGCACAAGAACCCACAGTGGTTAATTTGACGTGCCGTCGTCTGTACATAATATTTGTTATCTTTTGTGTGATAGACGCTGCAGGAAACAAAAATATCCTTGCATCACAGCTCTTTCCTTGCATCTTGCAAAATATTAGTACATAAGTCTAGTAGATAAGTTAATTTCTGTAACACATTTGTTTGTCATTCCTAAAATAAATAAATAAATAAATCTGTTGGTACGTGAACCAGAGAGGAAACACGAAGAAAAAATAAATGCTAGAAGTACTTTCTGTGCGAAATCATTATCCTATTGCTGAAACGAACTAACGATTACTTAATAGTACTATATACAGTGTGTCCGGGCATGTAGTGATCAAACTTTAAGAGCGTAATCTATGGACAATTTTATCGGTAAAAATACTTTAAAATACTTTAATAACCCATTTCTCGCATATTTACAAGGATTTAAGTTTTTAATTTTAAGTTTTCACCTCTTCTTTCAAAAACAAGTGATAGCGTGGGTAACTTAACATTAATAAGCAAATATTTTATATCATGCGATAGCCAGTAAAATTATCTTTTAGTAGAAGTAGAAAACAGACACAAGTTTCATACATTTTAAGGGAGTAAGAATGGATTTAATTAGAAATAAACATGATTTTGTTCACACCTTTTTCAGTTATTTCCCAACATAAGAAAAACCAGGTCGTTAAGGTATGTTTTATTTGCATTGTATTATTAGTATTTGAGCCATTCTACAAAACGAATGTAAATTTATTAGTCTACGTCTATTAGTTTCGACGTAATTGTTGAACAGAGATACCCATTCCCAGCGGTTTCCATAGTAATCGGAATAGGTTGTGTAATTCTTTCAGGCAGTGCATTTTCGCATGTCGCGTGCGCTATGGAAACCGCTGGGAAGGGGTATCTTTGTTCAACAATTACGTCGAAACTAATAGACGTAGACTAATAAATTTACATTCGTTTTGTAGAATAGCTCAAATACTAATAATAACATGCAAATAAAACATACCTTAACGACCTGGTTTTTCTTGTGTGGGAAATAACTGAAAAAGATGTGAAAAAAATCGTGTTTATTTCTAATTAAATCCATTCTTACACCCTTAAAATGTATGAAACTTGTATCTGTTTTCTACTTTTACTAATAGATAATTTTATTGGCTATCGCATGATATAAAATTTTTGCTTATTAATGTTAAACTACCCACGCTATCACTTGTTTTTGAAGGAAGAGGTGAAAACTTAAAATTAAAAACTTAAATCCTTGTAAATATGCGAGAAATGGGTCAAGCCCCTTTAAAGTATTTTCACCGATAAAATTGTCCATAGATTACGCCCTTAAAGTTTGATCACTACATGCCCGGACACACTGTATAGTAGACGCCGAAAGGCGTCCACTGCTGGACGAAGGCCTCCCCTAAGGATTTCCACAAAGACCGGTCCTGCGCCGCTAGCATCCAGGCACCTCCCGTGACCTTCACCAGATCGTCGGTCCACCTAGTGGGAGACCTGCCCACGCTACGTCTTCCGGCTCGTGGTCGCAACTCAAGAACTTTCCTGCCCCAGCGGCCATCAGCTGTACGAGCTATGTACCCCGCCCACTACACTTGATTTTAGCGATTCTGCGGGCTATGTCTCACTTTGGTTCTCCTGCGGATCTCCTCATTTCCGATTCGATCACGCAGGGAAACTCCGAGCATAGCACGCTCCATCGCCCTTTGGGTGACCCCATTCCAGTCGCGTCCTCTTAAACAATAATGTTTCTGATTGGACTTTCTTTTGGACACCAAACTACATAACGAAAATCAAGTCAAGTTCGAGACCACCGAAAAGACCGACAGAGGCAAAGATTAAGTGAGTAATGACTCTACATTTAAGGGTTTACTTTTGAACTTTACAGCTTAATTTTGAGCAGAGAGATTTTATAGAACATCATTTAGATCTAGTTTTGAAAACTTGTGTATGTAATACTTTACAGTTAAATAAATACTCATTTATAGACGTTATAATATCTTTCATCACATCACATATAACCGTTCAATTAGGTTTTGCAACTTTTCATATAAACAATTAATTGCGTGGTTGATTAAGTAGAATGCGTTCATTAGTCCAAGACAAAGGTTGCAATCGTTAAATAACTACTATATCGTTCATGTTTACAATGTTTGTTTGTACAAGCGTGTATGTGCGATGATTGGTATCTTTTTTGGCGCAATAAGTATTTATTTTGATATAGTGGTCTTCTGAGACATAAAGTTGTCCGTTGAAATGTAGAGCATTGCACTGCATCTAATTGAGAGATGGTTCATTACGAACATCATCCCGAAAGCTTCAAAGTGTCAGTTGTTGAGTAATAAATTAAATTATAATTTCCGCACCGCGCTGTACAAACCATATGTCATATCTATCTGTTACGAGCGATTAAACCTCAGCGTTGGTATCGACTTGATTAATTTAATATAATATCATGAATATGACTGTGCTAAGTGCTATAATCTGCTTTGTTTGCAAACCGAAACCGTGTTACATTTTTCGTCGGTGACAATAATTTGACTAAAAATAGACGCTTGAGTGTTATTCGTGTCAAGCATGTGCAAATAAGTTATTCAACGTAGGCGTTTCGACATTAGAAATAAAACTTCCTTCCGACCGATCGAAGAAGTCACGAGAGAACATTATTGTCTATTTATCATCGCGTATCGATCACCTGGCGGGCGGCGGGCGGGCGGGCGACGGCACCTGCGCGCGCGCCCAGTCTACGCGCGCCCGGCACCACGCGCGCCCGCGACGCGCCACCATGCCGCTCTACTCGGAGCATATATCGAACATGTACTTTAGTGGATCACCCTCGTATACCGGTTCGTCCTACAGTTATGGAAGTTCAGTGCCACCTTTCGGATCTTCGTACAGTGCATCCTATCTCAACCCCGGCGGGAGCTACAGTACCCACTCATCGCTCGGAGGCTACTCCCGAGCGCCCATATCTTCGAGATGGATAACCAGTTCTGGGAGAAATTATTCTCCCATTCTCAGCACGATCTCGGAAAGAGGTTCTGCGAGTCCGGTAAGAATAAACAGCCCACGAAGAATTCCTATTGCGAAAAGAACATATGGGACTCCAACTTACACTCCGCGCCCTATCAATATCAACACGGCTGATATTGATGTGTCTAAGGACAGGTATCGTCATAAAAATGAGCCCGCCCCTGTGATTAGTCCTAAGACATCTCCGAAACGAGAGGAGCCTAGCACTAGTAGTCCTAAAACATCTTTGAAACAAGAGGAACCTAGCACTAGTATAGAAAACGGTCCCTTCATGCCGCGAGTAGATGGAAAACCTGAAACAGGAATTGATTCGTCACCAGGTATACAAAGGAGTACGATAAAACGTGGTAGGACAGTAGTGAGGCTTCACACGATTAAAAGACGTGAAAGAGATTCTCCTCGAAAACCAAACGAAGATCTTCCAAAACAGGATAACGAAAATACAACAGATGAATCTAAAATACCAAATGTAGAAGATCCCACGGAAAATTTGTCATGGAGGGAAAGATTATCTGATGAATTAGTATATAAGGGTAAAAAAGAAAAGAAATCGTTAGGAACGAAGCTTGTTGAGAAATTTAAAATACGAAACGACGATGATGATGTACCTATTCAGGATACCTCTCAGCGTATATCAAAAGCTCCTGCTCAAGATACCGCTCAGAATATTTCTCAGAGTACTTCTAAGATAGAAGAAAGTGTTCAAAGCTTACCGACTCCTCCTGTGGCTAACACTACAGGTGGGCTTAGCAAATCTCCAGATCGGCGTTGTTCTATGGAGCTTTTAGCTGAACAAGCTAGTTTGTTGGACTCATTAATACGTAGTGAAAATCTCAGCACCACTAGTTTAGATTTAAGTAAAGTTGGTATCAGTGATAATGCTAAAAGAAATGATGAATTGTTCCAAGCAACTAAAAGAAGAAAAAGTAATGATGGAGAAAATCCCTTAAAAACGACAAAATCGGATCATTCCTTACATGATAGTTTTAAATCGTTTAGAGATGCCAGACAATTTCCTAAACGCCGAAGCTTAAAAAAATCTTCGTCAGGAGGATCAATTTGTAGATTAGATTCTATAACTGAGTTTCCAAAAGGAATATTGAATACTGATCTACCCTCCATTGAAGAGAGTAGACTTTCAATTAAAAACGAGACTCCTAAAACAAAACCAAAATTGAAAGCGAAGATTACCTCATCAGTAGACGTAGACGTGTCTCCGCCAAAAAGTCCTTTAAAATTCAAAGTGGAAAATGTTACAGTTGAAGAAATTCCACGAACACCTAAGAAAGAAATTGTGTATAGCAGTGTCATATACCCAGCTATAGAAACAGGGGACAAACTTGAAAAAGATATCGAAATCAATACTCCGCAAAGGACTAACAAAAATCGAAAAAGTATTAAGAAGAAATCAAAACCATCAACTGACGAAACATTATCACCAGAGCCAGATGACGGTAACTTTTGGGAAAAAATTGGAAAACGAGAAACAGTGTATTTATTGAAAAGAAAACAAAATATTGATGAAAGTCGAGAAAAACAACGAAGAGCATTATTTTGGTTTCCCGAAGAACATGAATTAAATGCAGACGATAATTATGAAATGGCCGAAAGTGGTTTGGAATGTAGGGTGAACTCAGCTCAACAGGAGGTTATAGATAAAGAACTTAAACCATCGTCAGAAAATCAGACTGAAATAAATATAAATAAATCTGATTCAGAGGCATCTGCAGTTGAAAAACATATAGAACCTTTATGTTTGAATGTGGAAGTACCAAAAACTGATATTGGTTCAGAAGAGCTAAAATCGGGCGTAAAAATAAAAGAAGATGAACCCAAAGAAGCATTGTCAGATAAAAATGAGGAACAGAGTTTAAAAATAGAAGAACATAATTCTTCTTCTAACTTTGAGAAAGATACAGTAAATGCAGAAAGTAGTGTGCCAAATGCTGAACCAATTTTCATTAAGTCAGTTGAAGTAAATGCTTGCGATAATATCGGGACACCTACTACTATACACGCTGAAACAAATAATTCAAAAACTGACCCAATAATGCCAGAAGAAAAGCCTACTAAAATTTGCCATGATAAGAAAACTGACAAAATTGCAGCTTCTAACGATAAAGTTAATGAAGATTCTGTCAGCAAAGTAAAAGATTCGGAAACCGACATTTCTGTTAAAAAAGAACAAAAAGAAGACACTGCACAGATGGGTAATTTGACTGACGATTCTCAGCTTAAAAAATCTAAGGATTCGTTAATACCTAGCAAAGAAGAAAATAAGGCAGTAAGCATGTCGACTTCGTCAAAGGAAACTTATCTTCAAGAAAAAGACGAGTCCCAAAATAAAAGTAATTTAAGTAAGAAAACAGAGTCGGAACCTCCTAATGACAGTAATAAGTCTCAATTGCTATCTAAGAATTCAAAAGAAAAAAAATCCAGTGGTGCTATGCCAGCCACCGAGAAAGTTCAGCATAAAAATGAGACAAAGGTTTCTCCAAGTGAACAATCTAAATTGAAAAGTAATGTCACATTGCCAACTCAAAAAGACTCGAAAGTTAAAGACGTATTAAGAAAACCTATTGGAAATGAAACTAAAGTCCAAAAACTTAAACCACCAGTGATATCAGCTGTACAAAACGTCGAATCTACTGCTAAGCCTTCCTCTTCTAACCAAGTTAAACAAGAAGAATGTGCAGTAACAAATGTTGCACCTACAGATACGACTACCAGTATTATTGCACTAGAAGATACATCCGATAAAAAAGATACAATTAGCAAGGAAGATGAAAAGGATTCTAAATTTCTTGATGTAAATATTACGCCAGTTTTAGAAAACATTCCAAATGAAAACAATGAACTTAAAACTGAAGTATTAGTACAACAAGAAGGTATAGGAGAGGATAAAAAGGCTGAAAATGTTCCTAAGATTGAAGAAAAGTTAATAGAAGATGCGAAACCTCAACCTGAGGTAGCAGTGAAACCTGCACCAAGTCCTAGAAGACCTGTGAAAGAAGAAGCAGCCTTGAGGCCCTTGATTGCAACTCCACGTCCACTCCAAAAGAAATCTCCGCAAGTGATTCATTCTTCAAGTTCCTCAGAATCAGCGTCGGAAGATTCATCTGATGAAGAGGATGAGGATGAATCTGATTCGAGCGGGGATTCAAATGAATTTTATGAGTGCGAAAATAATCCGGACGGCAGAACCTCCACGGGATCCAACGACTCCGGGTTCGACTCATCAGCTCCAACTTCTCCTGCGGGATTTGTTCATATCAAGAAAGGTAGGTTTAGGATAGAGCTCCGGACAATGAAACACAAACACACGACACGATCAGAACTAACTTTCCACTAACTTGTACATATTCCTATCGAGTCCCCGAATGCTTTTGCACGGCTTAAAGCGGATTGGTTTAACTACTGCGCGGTCTTTGATGACCGCCCCGTAACTTTAGCCGCGAGTTGTTTTGTTTTAGACTGTGACGTAAACTGCCATCGCAAGTGTGAAAAGTTGACGGCGAACTTGTGCGGGGTGAACCAGCGGCTCCTGGTGGAGGCTTTGGCGGCGCGGCCCTCGTTTAGGAAAGGTGGGTATCAAAATTGAACAGCAGTAGAGGTCACATCTTGTACGGAATGTATCGGAAACGTTAGCGTCACTGATACGTCACGCGTCGCTCAAAATAAAGCTATGTTTTATTGGCTAGCTATCGTCTGTAACGGCTATTATTAGTTCCACGTGTAAAAATACACGAAATTGTGAGATAAAAGAATTGGTAACATCTTTTATCAACGTTATTCCAAAAAATTAAGTAATGAAAGTGAAACGGATTCTGAAAAGCACAAACTTATTTTTGAATAAAAATTTTTAAAAAAATACGATATTGGTTGTAAATAAAAATCTAAAATTCTGTTATACTCTTTTTAACGTGATGATAATAATATGAAACAAGAAAGTAATAAACGTATAATGAATTGTGCGTATATATATTTGTTGTGCTCCGAGTATATTGCTGCGTAGGAGCGCGATGCGGTTGCTACAGTCTGGACAGCGGCCAATCACTCGCCTCTCACCTGTATACAGAATTAATAGCACCAATTGCTGCTGAAATTAACTTAAACAAATGGTTGACATCACATTTGGATCTAAATATACCTTTTGTAGAATACATTTGTACTGTAGTAAACATGATTTCGCGCGTCTTTTGTTTAAAGTAAATGAAATTCAACTTTCTGGATATAAGTACAAGTTCATTGTAATTTGTCAGATTAATATTGATGATTATTAGTCAGATGTGCTACTTACAATTAATTAATCGACATCAAAGTAATGGTCTAAGCACTTTAGATTTGATTTAAGAGTACATAATATGCAAGTCCATTCATCGATGTCCAACAATCTGCGATGGATGCGGATGCCAGCGTCCCATCAATAAATCGATGGTTTCCTAATAGTCGATTATCTGGCTCGGCTTCAAACGTCACCAGCGTATTTTTATTCCCAGTCGACTCACTGGCACTGGCTCGCGTTATGGCCGTTTTTGAATTCGTTTCTTGTTGCTTTTCAACTAAAGCAAAAAATTACATAACATCCCCCCGCTGTCAAAGACTTAAAAATTATTATAAATATTATAGATGACGATCTAATTCATTTAAAATTCACATCTGGTGGACAATATACAACTCAATTAAGAAATCGTCTACGTAAATCCCTACAAACTAAAAATATTTACTACGACAATCCGCATGAAATGAATACCTAATGATGTAAAACGCAAAGCTCTTTCTTACATGCTCTTACTTTTTCTTACAACTTCTTTCACACTCTCTATATCTTGCACTACACTTCAAACAACTGTTTTAATTTTAATTTCTTCTATTACATATTCTGTCTATTTAAAAATAACGAATGGAATTATGGTTTCTTCCACTATCTTCGACAAAAGCTCATTTAAATACAACAAAACAAGTTCGATATGTAGGAGAAGATTGCAGATTACTTAAAGTTGTTTACTTAGGTGGCGAGAGCCCTGGCACCTCGGCGGGCGCTGTGCAAGCGCAAAGCGACGCCACCGACGTGCTAGAACAGGAGCTTGGTGAGAAATGCACAAATATAAACAATTTTTATATATTTGTAACGTTGGGTCTGATTCCGAAATGCAGTCATTAAAAATCACTGAAAGACGTACAAAGCAAAACAAATTACGTTTTTTGTTAATGTTTACATCAGAAGATCCTACCTACCTTACACCTACTAGTAGAAAAGTTATTGCAGAACTACTTAAAAATTCATAAAATCAAGATGACTATACTAGTGGGAATAAATATATTTAACTAGGTTTACGGTCCACTTTCAGAATCGGCCCCAATACCAACTATCTGCTAGCTAGAATAAGATTTTAGAATAGTAAATTGGGGTTTATTATTGTAGTGTGTAGAGCATACCTGTGACAGCTTGAGTACATTTTGCTTGCAGCCGCTAACACACACTATTCACAAACCGCACACCGAGATTTTAATAGTTCTTGCAAAATACGAGCGAGCATTTTGCGTGTGCTTTATGTGTTCTTTCACTTACAAACTATAATAAATCCGTAATAATTATGGGCAGATACTTTATCCAGCCAGATATAATTTTAGTAGCGCTCATAAATTGCAAGGATTATAAATGGGCCATAAACTAGACGTTTGTACTTACACTTGTTATTTATTTGTTTAATTTTGAGCAGATGAACCTAACATAAATATTATCCGGTCTTGATTGGGTAAAGTTAATCAGGTGAAGCCATTCTATTTTTCGTCCAAATAAACAAGACACTCAATAAATCTATTTTGAGGAATGCTTTTTCGTTCCGTGTGGTAATAAATTTTTATTTTCCGGTACAATCATCGACGAAAACGAATTGTGTTTGGCTTCTATAAATACTGGTGATGAAGCGTAGGCCTTTCGCTGAGAGAGCAGACCCCGATTCGTCTGAACAGGTTCCGCATTCCATATTTCTCCCAAGTTTAATTATAGGACACCCTTAATATGTCACATTGCGCTCTTACTGCGATGCGATACTTTACTCCGAACGTTGTACTGTCACGTAAATTTTGTGATACAAATAAGACGTTGAAATCTCGGGAAATGGTCTGAAATACATTTGCTTGTGTTTGGTGATAATTACAAACTATTATTGGGTTTCACAGTCCACTATCTAGTTATACTAAGAATATAATTTCAGCTTTAATTTAATGCAATAAACGAAAGCCAAGTCTTCTAACAACAAAACGATTCAGCAGTTCGTTACTTTTACTTGCAAGAAAAAAGATTCAACTTTATTTTAACACATGCAAGTGTCAGCTAGTTGAGGAGTACCGCTCATTTGCAAAGTTTTCGTATTTAACGGCATTCGATTTTCGATTCGATTCGATTGTTAATATCACAAACAACGTCTTGTGTAAACGTTTATTTAATTAGATTCTAGACAATTTAACCAGTCATTGAGTATTCCTAGATTGTATTTTAGGTGTAAGAAAAGCTAATAGACGCGGTATTATGAACGCGTTAGTGACTATAAACAATGAATTATTACCCCGATCGTAACTCGTTAGTGGTAGATTTAATAGCTCGGTAAAAATAACATTTTACACTACGTTATTCCAGAACTAGCTTTACAAATTGGATTTAAAGGAAAAAGTGTTAAAAGAAACTGGTTGCTGCAAGCACAGCGGCGGAAAATGGCTGGTAATGACACAATGAAATAAAGTGATATTTCGTAGCGTTTTCGTAGCACCGTAGCACAAACGACTTTATATTGACTACTGAAATTGCTAAATTATTACATAATGATGGTATAATTTTATCTAACTCATCGCAACATTGATTTACAAATATATAAAGCATGATATGAGGTACCAGCACTTCGGTGTGTATTGAAATTTAGAAAAGTGCGTCATCGGGAAGTAAAAACAAATGAACTACAGCGTTACAGGTCATCGACAACATGCTGGTGGCTGTAGTATGACATAATCCGAGTACATATGTGACATATTAATCTCTTTCACCTCGGTCGGGATCGAGCATGCTAAAAATATTGGCCGGCTCGGACAATATCAAGGTCGCGCGGTTTTATTTTGCCAAATTCACGGATTTTGCGAGAAGCACAGTTTCCAAAAGAGTTTTTGAATCCAGGACTTTGTACTTGTTATTTCACGGTATTTTTGAGCCCCAAAACTTGCCAATATTTGGGGTATTAATTTAAATAAGCGTATTTTATTTAATTTCCAAAATCTATTGTTTTTTCAATTGCTGAACAAGGGACCATTTTGATTTATTTGTTGTCAGCTGGGACCATGAAAACAAGAAATATAGGTAAAGTGAATGATTAAAATCCGAAATATAAACTTACATAAGTAATCAATGTCCTATGTGTATTTACTTGTAAAGGAAAATAATTTCAAAAATAAACCGTACCTAATTGTTTCAACCGCTTCGGTCGATTTAGATACTCGTAATTATTTGATTGGAATAATAAACTGATATTGAATTAAAATAATCAGTCTTGATTAAGGACCATGTTTCTAATCGGACTCGTTTGAACACTCGCTGTCAAAATAAATAATACTTACGATTAGTTTATTTGGCATCGAACCCGTCTGGGGGAAGTCTCGTGGCTCTACTTAAATGCTGGGTTCGGCACACTGCTAACAAACAAGTATTTTCATATTATTAATTGGCCACTCTATTATAAGTTTTGGTGACGACAGCGGACATAGCGTTATGAAATGGGATTATTATGTCTGTCGTATAAATAATCTATTGTACGCACATCATATTACGTGCAAAACGTCCTAGAAATTTACTTTCGCCTGGGGACTCACAATGGCGCTTGATAAATTACCTTGTTTTTTTTTAAACAGACATGTTTTACAGATTTATGTAAGTTCCATAAAAGTTCATGTTATGGCAATACGCAAATATATTTCCCATTAGGTAGGTATAATACAATAATATACTTATTATTTAAATAAAATATGATTTACTTTTATCTGCTGCTTTACATAGAAAAGCCGAAAGTTTTGGGATCAAAACACGACGATAACTAGCTGCCTGTACGTCAGCTGTGTACAATTTATAAAGATGACATCAAAAAAGTTCGTCCACCGCTTAATTAATCATTCGACAAATCGAGTTAATGTTAACACGTCAAAAAATAAAACATAATTTGCGACAGAAATCGGAGCCAAGTTGTCTGGAATACTGGAGACGCGATGTTTGTTTGTAAAACTAAAAGATGATGCCTAGGTAAATAACTCTTTTGGAGGTCAATGGTAAAACACTCATTTTTTTGCTTTGAAAGTGACCGTTTGTCACCTGATAGGGATCAGTAGCGGGAAAGGATGTTTACGAAGATATAAATCTGAGAAGCAATGATGAGTTGCTTGAAACGAAATGCCAACACACGTGCGGTTGTAATTCATTTCACTCAAATCGTTTGAGCATTATTTGCAGTCTCTATGCAGCATAAAAACCCAATTATTTTGAAACGCTTTTTCACTCGGCTCTATATTCGTAGATTTTGGTTTGGCTTAAAAATATTAAGAATAACGGGAGTCTCGCATACCTGTAACATTGTAAAGAAACCCCCAATTACGATGAGAACAATATGAGACAAACGTAGTACTCTTATTTTGATTATTTTTGAAGTAGTTACTTTATTATTAGAGATTTAAAATGAGATAGAGGAGATTCACTAAGAATTTCAAAACATAATCAGCAACTCTCTCTAATTCGCGTAAGCTAATTAAAGAAACTTTTCTGAATGTATTTTGGAACATTTCCCCGCTTCGTTAAATTAAAAATTTCCAATGGTTCGTTCACTTCTGTTTAGGTTCATATGTTTGTCCGCATGGAATTTGAAATTTCCCTTAAGACTGTTTATTTATATCTCATTTCAACACTATCTTAACATTTTTCTCGCTTCTAAAACAGTTTTTCGTGTGATTTTGAATATTTCATTTGTTTTTACAGAACAGTCCACAGCTTACGGGTTATTCAAGAAGACAGGGCGGTTCACGCCCCCTGCGAGGTCCATTCCACGATTCCGAAAATATGCTATTGAAGACTTCCACTTCATCAAGGTCCTGGGCAAAGGCAGCTTTGGCAAGGTTAGTTTGAATGTGTGAAGCCCTAGTCAGGGTGAATGAGCCGCTAAGTATACATATAGGCATATCTGGAAAAGACAGCTGCTTACTTTAAAATAAATAAGCTTGCAAATTTTTATTACGTTTGCGTCACCAAAAACAAATATACTTGTCATTCCAGATTAATTTCAAAATTATTTACGGACAAAAAACTCAAATATAACTGTTACATCAGATGCCGTGATGAAACCGTTGCTTTGACACGAATTCATAAAACTCGTTGAGTGGCCTATTTCCTGGAAGAATGATAGTGACATTTATTTATTATTACTAAAGTCCCTTTAATAAAAAGAAAAATAAATGATTTATCATTGAGCATTTAAAAATAAGCCTCAGTAGCTCTAAATTGTGATAACAATTAGCATTGTTTTCTTTCCGATGACCCAAATGTATGCAGTCGAGTGCCAGCCCGTCGACGTGACTGCGAGCGGCTTTATAAATGGCACGCAGTATCGGCACAACCTAACCCTAATTGATTTCAATTAAGATAATGGACCTATTAGCTGATCACTGAACTATAGATGTTAGGAACAGAAAAAAAAATGAAATTGAAAACATTGAGACCTCGACTTGTAGCTGAGATATAAGTCTGTGTAATTAACAATTCTGCTTCGTTCACAAATGCTGTGAGTTCTTAAAGTATCGTCAGTCAATATTATTCTAGTCTTTTGTAGAGATTCTACTATTGTAGTACCTACTGTAGTTTGACGTCACGACTTGTTCAGCTTCTCAGACCATGTGACACGATTTATGACAAAGCCACTGTTTCAAACACAATCTTGTAAACGTGGGTAGTCAAAAATGCCAATAGCTCTATTAATAGAAACACAAATCAGTGGTTCATTACTTAAAAATTTGGAGTAGTGCCCCTGTTTACTCCAATGCAAAAAAGTTGAAAATGAAACAGTATTTTGAGCTTTCGTTACGAAGAAGCTATCTAATAAGTGTCTGATAACTAGGTTTTTCGGGCTTTAATGATTAAAAGATTTATTATGTAACATATACATTTACAAAGAGTCAGGCAGAGACTGATAAAAATAAATATCGTAGAAAGTTGTATTCAGCTTTTCTTATTTTATAGTAGGCACACAGTAGATATACAGTAGATCCCTTTAAAACAGTTTTTACTATCTAGCGATAATTAAAATGCAAAATGTAAGCGAACTTCAGTCCCAAAATAAACGTACGCAACCGAAACAAGGAGGTTTTGCCAAGAAAAAAATCGCTTTTCGTATTCATAACAACATTGAACGACATCGCGAAGTCCGCGATGAGAGACGGCTCCTCGAACCAGTGCGACTGTACTGTACTGTGCTGGTAAAAATAAGTGGCGGTAACCGGTAAAATATGTGTTGTCAAACGAAATGATATATTGATGTCTTATTTGTATTGGCATAAATATAAATGGGTCCGTTTTCAGTTGAAAGGAAAAACAAATGAAGCACGATCGTTGTAATTTCCGTGTTGACAAAAATTATAATATCTTTACAAGCTTCGTAGGCGCATATTATCTATGTCTGAATGAGCTATATCTGTCTATTCACGCAATTAAGAAAAAGTTTTATGTGTGATAGCAACGTTGTTACCGCAAGAAAATGCTATTCCCTGCAATGCTCTACCTTTCTTCATAGTGAATTTGATGCTATCTCTAAGTTCTTATTGCTGAAATTTACGATTTTGTGGTCGTATACACAATCAACATCCCCTGAGTCCGCCAATGAAGACGTTACCAACACGTTTAGTTTATTTCCCTCAATAAAACCACACGTAACAAATATTTATAAGCTCTCCATCGACGTCACGTCGCTACAGCTTTAATGGGTTTATTTGCACATGTCTAAATTGACTTAGCAACAGGCATTACATTAATATTCGGAAGCTTCATTCATTTGCAATCCGGGATGTGTATGTTAGAGAAGGAAGATAGTAAGCAGACATGCAGTTACATACTAAGAGTTAAACGTCACACTATTTTGCAACACGGTCGTTTATTTGAAACAGCTTTCAGCCCACGGCTTCGCCCGAGCGGAATTTTGTCTGTCACAGAAAAACTTTATCGCGCGCGTCCCTGTTTCAAAAACCGGGATAAAAACTATGCTATGTCCTTTCCCAGGACTCAAACTATCTCTATACCAAATTTAATCAAAATCGGTTCAGTGGTTTAGGCGTGAAAGCAAGACAGACAGACAGAGTTACTTTAGTATTTATAATATTAGTAAAGATAGTGTTAGGTAAACGTTTTTATTAAATTAAAAATTAACAACAGGAGAGCCGACCCCAAATAATTTATTAGAGGATCTATGTATATCTTCTATAAGAATAAAATGAAAATAAAGTTTATGGCGACAAGGAAATTGTGATTGTATCAAAAATTGGATTTTAGATTTAAGTCATTTCAGACTTGTATTTGGTTTGCGATACCTAAAAGCGACATGCTATTTCTACGAGCTAGTTATCTAATGTTGTTTACTGACTCAATATGAAAACTATTATTAGGTAAGTAGTTCTCTAGTTAGTCGTCACATTTTCTCGAACACATGTTGCAGTATTATCCCAACTATAATATATAACTCTGTCTGTCTGTCTGTCTGTCTGTCTGTTACGCTTTCCCGCTTAAACCTCGCAACCGATTTTGATGAAATTTGGCATAGAGATAGTTTGAGTCCCGGGAAAGAACATAGGATAGTTTTTATCCCGGTTTTTGAAACAGGGACGCGCGCGATAAAGTTTTTCTGTGACAGACAAAATTCCACGCGGGCGAAGCCGCGGGCGGAAAGCTAGTGCGCTATAAACGTCGCCTATATCACAATGCCTGCCGATGCCCCGCGTTGTTACGGATGAGAACTGTGTCAAACAGTTAGGAAATCAAATGAAAATAGACCTAACTACCTGTGCACCGGAATAGACGAAAACTGGGTCGCTGGAGAGATGTTACAGTGACACTTGAAATACTCAATGATATTTAAAAAATATTTTCAAATAGAATGAGAGTTACGACAGTTTAGCTCTCTTAGGGAATGACATCGTCATACGGTGAAGTTTGTATGATTGGCTATCATTTTAAAAGTACCAATGATTATCCTAAATCTTGTTGTTAGGAGATTTTTAAAGAAAATATGAAGAGTAATTAAAAGAAGTGGCCTTTCAGATGTTTATGACATATCTAGTTTCCATTCCATTGATCTTTGTGAGATCAATGCAGCTGAATATAGATTCGTAGTAAATCATTAAGTTGACTCACCTACTTTTGTAAAATATTGCGATATTTAAAAATAAGGAAAGTGTACTTGGCACGCGCTTACAGAGGATTGAGACAAATGTAGTATGATTAACTTCAAAGTCAACAGCACGGTGTATTTGTTTGTAAGAACAATGAACTTTGCTTGCATGAATCAGGTTGGGGGAACTGGCTAAAGTTTCGAGAAACGCCTCTACGTTTTATTTAAAATACGAGCTTTACATGGAAAATGTCAGTCACAATTGCTCTGGTTGATGAAAGGTGATGATTGATATCATATAAAATTGTATCATATTGGTATTTCATCACATTACAGTTAAATGAAATGAGACGAGAGAACCGCGTAACTCATGCGATATGATTTTGAAAAAAGACAAGTAAAACGATTTTCTTAAAAAGGGTTAATTTCAAATTGGTGATAGCATCCGCCGCAATACGTTTTCCCAGTTCAAATGTAAATGTTTAGCTACACTGATCAAAGAGGAAAATCAGAATTATCAGAAATCAGAAGTCAAATCTTGCCTAGATTCTAGGTATTGATGCAATCTGTTTTCCTTATACCTGCTGTAGGAGTAAAAATGTGCGTAAGAGCAGTTATGAGAAAACAATGTTTATTGTCTTATCTGAGCATCAATTAATCTTGTCTCTACTTTGTTAGAACAAAGATGTAATAATTGATTACTTGTGTGTTATGTTTCATGTTCTTTTCAGTAACTGGAAAAAATGCTTCATAAACAAAATGTTTTATTAGATAACTAGCTGACCCGGCGAACTTTGTTCCGCCTTAATGGCAATAAATAAGCAGACTTTTTTTTATTTCGAACGGGATAAAAAGTATCCTATGTCCTTCTCCTGGCTCTAAACTACCTCCCTGACAATTTTCAGCTAAATCGGTTCAGCCGTTCTTGAGTTATAAGTGGAGTAACTAACACGACTTTCTTTTATTATATAGAAGATCCTCAGAAAAATGTTTTATTAAATAAACCACTGAAGCACTTGATCATTTCTGTAGGACGATCGTAGAAAAAAATCGTGATAAATTATACAAGCTCTTTGGAAGACTCTTATTATCTTGAATTTATATCGACAAAAAAGGCGTGGTTTCTTGAAACAATCGCAGCCAACACAATGGCCGAAGCCAAGCATCACAAGCCCCAATTGCCGCTGACCGTAACCCCCCGATGGCAGCGTGCCCGCTGCAAGTCGCGGTTCACCTGCGCTGCACCAGCCCACCGCGTCCCCGCTATTCTTGGCCCCTACATCACCGGCCACCTTTCGCGCGTCACCGACCACGTGTCATCGTCCCCACACTATCTATAGCCAATTTATAATATAATTTAGATACACTCGTACATCAAACCGACATGTCACGTGACCGCACTTGGTGCGCCCCGTCGCGTCGATTCGAGTCTAATCGTCTATGTAATAGTTCCGATTAATAAGTTTTCTCTTTGTAAAAACGACAATCCAATTATTATTCGATTTCTTAATCTGACATCAAGGATGCCCAATCACAGCCAAAACAATACTACAGGTATAATGAGTAGTGACATGATGCAATAGCAATGTTTACAATTTGCTTCAAAAGCCGGAAGCCAAGGGATCTAGTGCGACAATTGTCGATGTCATTGGTTTATTCTTAATCCTACGGCACTCTAGTTCTGATTGGTAGGTATAATTACGCGCACTTAAGGCTCAGAATAATTAGCTGTTAGATATAAATCTTATCCAACACATGTTAATTATCAGAACATATTACAGGGATTCGTAATTTATATATACTGTAGGTCAAACTCTATGCGAAGTTGAAATGCGTGTTTCTAGGAAGAAGACACGTTCAATTTTAATTAGCTTTGACTGACACGTGTAACTAACTCTACATTTGCAACTAAATTCATGAAAACGTCTTCAAATAAGCTTACATTTCATTAAATATTATTTATGAGTCCCGTATTCCAACCTGTAACTGCAATTCGCGCTGTAATCCGCTACGTATGTGTACGTAATGGCCGTTGGATATACATTTAGCTTTTGTTACGGTATACATACAGCACACAAAAACACGGTCTTATACAGTTGTAATAGGTAATATTTTGCAGGAAGACTTTATATCACTCGACTGTACAAAGATACTTTACTTTCTACTGGGCATCCCTATCTTCCTGATGGCACGAACCCGCGGCCCAGTTGTGGTTGAGCCGACGCCAAGTGTACGGAGAAAGCGAGATATATTCGCGATGTAGCCCAGCGTCACGGGTGTCATACGTTTCCTGAGACATTTATCAAAAGCTAATGTTACTAATTTTGTATATGACAATTTGTTAACTGGACATCTCGTGCGCGGATATAATTTTAGCTAATTTACTTTGGAACTTCAGGACTAAGCGCTCGCTCTTTTTAAATTATAAATAAGGGTCGTCGTACGTAGAATAAAAGTTCATAACATTGTATGGTTGAAAATAATACATCAAAGTAGGAATTTTTCCACGTATAGGAAACGATGGATTAATTAGCCTTACCTACTTTATTGCGGTTACTTATTTATAAGATGCTTATAAATGATTAACTCAGGTGATTAAATATACAGTGTGAGTCACGTTAAAGTGTACATATGAAAATAGATGAAACTAGACCTATTTTTATCGACAAAAAAGAGGTCAAAAATTTTTTGAGATTTTTTTTAAATTTTTTATCGAATTTTTTTTCTTCCAATTACTTATTGTAAAGAAAACGTAATAACTTTTAAACTAAGCGGTATATCCTGATAAAATAAAAACAGTAATAATGCTAAATAACAGGCAATAGTAAAAAAATACATAAAATACACAAAAAATGCCAAAAAATTATAAAAAATGATACTTTTTGAAAAAAATCTGCTTAAAAATTCGTGTTTTTTTGGTTATTCGATAAATTTCTCCAAAAAATGCCCCTATAACAGGTGGTTTTTATTGTTTTGTATTATTCTCTATCGTATTACCTTTGTAAAACCAATGATCGCATGTCTCTATCCCTATCACAACATTTGCTATGATCGTTTGAACTAAGCCTCTCCGGGCGCGCCATTCAACGCTTCGTTAACAACGAAACTGAAAATGGCTCTAGATTTGTAATTTTGATAAAGACAAGTTAGATTTCAAGTAAAAACAAAAGATTTCGAAGTAAAATAAGCATTTTAGTTAAAATTAAAATTGTCCCTACCTGTAGAGGAGAATAATGTTGTGATAGGCCTTTGTTCAAACTATCATAGCAAATGTTGTGATAGGGATAGAGACATGCAATTTTTGGTTTTACAAAGGTAATACGATAGAGAATAATACTAAACAATAAAAAACACCTGTTATAGGGGCATTTTTTGGAGAAATTTATCGAATAACCAAAAAAACACGAATTTTTAAGCAGATTTTTTTCAAAAAGTATCATTTTTTATAATTTTTTGGCATTTTTTGTGTATTTTATGTATTTTTTTACTATTGCCTGTTATTTAGCATTATTACTGTTTTTATTTTATCAGGATATACCGCTTAGTTTAAAAGTTATTACGTTTTCTTTACAATAAGTAATTGGAAGAAAAAAAATTCTATAAAAATTTAAAAAAAAAACTCAAAAAAAATTTGACCTCTTTTTTGTCGATAAAAATAGGTCTAGTTTCATCTATTTTCATATGTACACTTTAACGTGACTCACACTGTATTTTCAATTTCACACCCATAAACAAAGGCAATTATCGTGCAATAAGGAGAGACATGCACTTAAAGTCTTCATATAAATTAAGAAAGATAAACAGAAATAAGCTTAATTAATTAGTAGATTTACTGCAAACAGCAAATTGATTCTGAATGGTGATTTATTTGGGTAAGGCGCCAAATGCATGGAGATCCTTCTGATGCTGATTTAACATGTTCACTGGGACGTCCAAATGGCGGATCCCCAAGAATTCACTTGTGCAGAAGGATTCATTCCAATTCAAGCCGCAAATGTTTGTGCGGAGAATTTATTCTCTCTATGGAACAAAGAAAACTTTGCGATTTTGGAAATGAAATTTCTCAATGACTGACTAGCCCTTTTTTGGCATCGTTACCAATGACAGTCGACACAAAGAGTTAGTTGGATGACGTAATTCCAAGAAGAAATTTTCACATACAAATTGTGTAACTTAATGCAGGGTATTCCCCTGCTTGTGTTAGGGTGGCTGGTAATGGACCGCGTCGGTTTATTTTTCTTATAAAGAACGTTTTATACTTCTACTAGCGGCCGCCCGCGACTTCGTACGCGTGGATCCCGTTTCATAAAATAATTTCTTAGCGGATGCCTATGCCCTTAAGGCCTCCCTGCAAAACCTTTGTAAACCCTGTACAAAGCATAATGAGCGAGCTTTTTCAGATAATACGTTTGTTTTACAGGTATTACTGGCAGAGCTACGGGACACTGAGTACTACTACGCCGTGAAATGCCTGAAGAAGGACGTGGTATTAGAAGACGACGACGTCGAGTGCACCCTCATAGAGAGAAAGGTGCTCGCACTCGGCACCAACCACCCGTATCTTTGCCATCTGTTTGCTACTTTTCAGACTGATGTGAGTATATTTTTAACCTTCAGAAAGACTGAACTTTTATTTTTGGTGGACTATGGTAGCAGGGAAGCGCTGGCCGCAGGCCGCTACCAATCGATCAACATGGAAAGCATTGGGGGAGGCCTATGTTCAGCTGTGGACCTCCTATGACTTAAATGATGATGATGATGACGGGAAATAAGGGTTGACAGCGAAGAAAGTAATTTACGACATGACTTTCATACGGCTCTCTACTTCAAGTTCGATTCGATTTCAAGCATAAACTCAAGCTTTTGATTAGGTACTAAGGTACTTATACTAAACGTAAGTATTTAGTTGAATTTAAATATTTAGTAACATACCTATAATTTTACTAGAATTTTGAATGTCTAAAGTGCGTATGTAATCAATACCCTAAACATTTTTTGCTAAGTGCTGACGTCTTTCTTAGAACTAATAATACGTACCTACATAAGAAACTGACAGACTGTCTGTTAATTTTAATTGGCCCGTGAAATGTTTACAAAACGTGCCTACGTTTTACAATAACAAAATAACGTTATTTACTAGACTTTTGCATGGATTGTGGAAGCGAAAATATCTAAACGAATTATTATTGTTATTTGCAGTCTCACCTGTTCTTCGTGATGGAATACCTGAACGGCGGTGACCTCATGTTCCACATCCAGCAAAGTGGCCGCTTCCCGGAGTCGCGCGCGCGCTTCTACGCCGCAGAAATCGTGTCGGGACTCAAGTTCTTGCACAAGAGAGGCATTGTTTACAGGTAAAGTTGTTTACTTTTGCCTAATAGGTAAGGGCTTTACTTTAGTCTTTAATATTGGCGGTAAAGTAGTTTTAAATGTGTCTTATTTTTCTCTAATTAAAAAAGTACCTAGGCAGACTATCATATTAAGCTCCCATATTTGGAAAACAATTTGTAGTTAGATAGGTTGTGTCACTGCAATTCTGTAAAATACTATTGTCCTGTTTACAATTTTCTGTAAAATATTCATCTGGATGTTATGAAAAGAAACTTAACTTAGTTATACCTACGAATGGAGAAATGAGGATGCCTACCTAGTAATTCAGCTGTTCATTCAGATATTTTTTATGACTTGTTGTTTTTGATCTTCGCACCCAAAGTACGTGCAGTAATAGTAAATATTAATAGATATGACCTTGCAATAGATTGCTTCTTTGTAGACGTGTTACGTGACTCGCATTTCAAAACATGACGAATAGTGTTGTTTTTCTGCGTATGTCACAAATAGGCACGCATTTAGATGATTTTATCATGTACAGTCAGCGTCAAATAGTTCGTGACACCCAAAGTGTCCAAAAAGTTGACAACAAAGACGCGTTGCGAACTTTTTTGCTACTTTGGGTGTCACGAACTACACGCTGACTGTATTAATTACAAAGTATAATCAGGCCTGCCCCCCTAGACAAAACGCACTTTTTGATCGAATCGAAAATCGAATCCGTCAAAACTCCATACAAAAAAGGGGGTTTTCGACCACTTTTCGACTGGTTTGCGATTATAATTTGCACTTTGTCTAGACCCACGGTTCATCTCCGCGAGTTTACATCGAAAACAAAACACGCACGATGGCCCACCTACAGGATACTATTCGACAAGGCCTCACATACGAGCGAACATTGACTCACGCACGCGTATTCTTGTGTATGATGGAAGAAAATAAAGAAAATGGTGTACTAAATACTGTGCAGTATTTAACTGCCTAAATAATAATAAAAACACAGATGTACTTTTTTAAGTTGCCTCAAGACACTGAGAGGTAAATAAGTAGTTAATATTATTCATGATAATTCATGCTAAATCATGTATTTCCTCCGCCATTTTCCGCAGTTTGGCACCTCACGTCACATCATTTTACCGAAGTCAGCCCTATAGCTTCGGCGCAGTGCCGATCACTGACGTTTGTCAACAAAATGGTGCTTGACTCTTGAGTCAGGCTAAATTACACCATATTGTTAATGACATTGAGCATACATTTTTTTAAATACCTTCGCAAAGTAAAACTTCTGTACGTAGTACTTATTATTATTCTGTGGTATAATAACGAAACATGAGTGTTTTTTACCCTCAGGGATTTGAAACTGGACAATATCCTCCTGGACTTTGACGGGCACGTGCGTATAGCAGACTTCGGCATGTGCAAGCTACAGATTTACTTGGACAAGACCGCGGACACGTTCTGCGGCACCCCCGATTATATGGCCCCTGAGGTGAGGACTAAGGAAACATTATTAAAGTCATGTTTGTAACTAGTAGACCAGAGACATTGTGCCCAGCTCCAAGAAAAAGTTTGCTACTTGCAAGTGAGGTAGTTACTACGAGCATCTAATAATAATACCTACCTAGGTGTCATGTATGGCGTTTCTATAGGGGTAATTACGGTTACATGACACAAGGTCTACTAATGCTACATGAATCGATTTTGCTACGTAACGGAAAGGAAACCTTACCTACTCAATGTCATTCTAAAAATATATTGACTATTGGTTTAAATGTTAGCTAAGTTAATAACAGTTGTTATTACTTTATTATTACCCGTCCTTTGGTTCTCTATAACTCTATTAAATCCCTTGCAGATAATCAAGGGGCTGAAGTACAACCAGACGGTGGATTGGTGGTCGTTCGGCGTACTGCTGTACGAGATGCTGATCGGCCAGAGTCCTTTCAGCGGCTGCGATGAAGACGAGCTGTTCTGGTCCATTTGCAACGAGATGCCGTCCTACCCGCGCTTCCTATCGCAAGAGGCGCTCACCGTACTCACGCGGGTAAGAAGCAGTTTCTAAAGTTAAATAAAACTTTCGGAATTTTGCATTCTTTTTCTTTCAAATAAAATTACTATTTAACTAGCGGTCCGCGACTTCGCACACGTGGATCCCTTTACCCTATTAGAGGTAGAGTTTTGCAAAGTCCCGTCTTAGTGAGCACCTTACGTTCTAAAAGGGACTTGCAAAATTTGAGACTCCTAGCACTTGTAGTTTATGAGATTTCATGATGAGTCAGTCACCTTTCGCTTATTAATATACAGGGTGTTAGGTAAATAGGTATATGAGCCGACACTAGCCCATGTTAACATGGGCATCTAAATGGTATGGTGAAGTCAGAAATTTGATATCATCATTTAAATTATTTAATTTCCACACTAAATAAATTTTATAAAATCCGATTTGTATGAAAATTAAAATAATTAAAATGAAGATATCAATTTTCTGACTTCACCATACCATTTTTATGACCATGTTAACATGGGCTAGTGTCGGCTCATATACCCATTTACCTAACACCCTGTATATTGTAAACAAAAGTAAAACTTTAAGCTCAACAAATGTTGCCTAATGAATACATGGCTTTATGGTTATTTTTGTTCCCAGTTGTTGGACAAAGACGCGCGGACGCGGCTGGGCGGCGTAGAATGCATGCACGGGGACGTGCGGGACCAGGAGTTCTTCCGACCCATCCACTGGGACCGCTTGGAGCGCAGGGAGCTCGAGGCGCCCTTTAAGCCACGAGTGGTAAGTACAGCTGGCTACTTGCTTGCTGTTGTTGGATAGAATTGGGTGGACGCGGCTGGGCGGCAGGATTAGGAGTTCTTCACACACCCTTAATAGTTTCTGAACCAGCGACTTTTCGTGTGTGTCAGAATGGACGGTCACTAAGTACCCATATTTTACATCGAAACAAATTTAAATATTGCTTCCCAGTTGCTACTAATCGTTAGATAGTTGCTACCCTCGATTTAAAGAAAATAATCTACTTTCGTAGGTGACGCGCCATCCTAGCATCAGAATGGCTGGTCACCTATCCAGCGAAAACAAACTGCGCTAGTTAAAAGAGTTTGTTTTTAACCAACAGTTGCTACTAACTGCTACCTTCATCCGGAGATTTTTCGGGAGGCGTCACGGGTTCGATGCCCGTTGCTAAATTAGACCGTTAGTCAGGGAAAAGTAATTAATTATTGTCTGGCGTCGCCACTAGGATATAAATAGGTAAGGCCTTTCATGAACCAAGCTTGTTAATTAAATTAAATTAATAACAATTTCTTTTACTTACTTCCAGAGGCACCCGCTAGACACGCAGTACTTCGACCGCGCGTTCACAGGCGAGCGGCCGCGGCTGACCGCCGTAGAGCCGCACGTCCTCCGCTCCATGGACCAAGAACCCTTCAGGGGTTTCTCGTACACGAACCCCAACGCCACCGACCGCTAAAACCAACCCTATTCCTTTAGGGTGGTAGTTCGAATTCGCTCAGCTAACGACGGAGCCCCAGGCGAGTGTAGTTTGTTATACCACGCCTATAAAGCTTCGTGATTTCAGCTCTACAACGGAGCTATATGAGGCGGGTGAAATGTTAGCGCAAGGCGAAGATAAGTTGATAGAATTGAATTTTTCGCACGCACGAAAAACATTTAATTCGAGTAGTTTAACGAGAAAAGTTGTTGAAATACCCTCCGCGGGCGGATCAGGTTATTATTTCATTTACAGATTACTATGCATCAATTTCATTTCATAGGTCTGTACTTATTGCGTGGGTAATATAGTTGAAAACGTTATCATTAACGTCATTAAATATTTTTTTGTAGATTGCAAAAACATTGTAATTATTGTAAATCGTTTTTCAGCTCCTTGTGTTATTTGAAAGCTGAAAAAGACATCTATCAGTAAGCTAATTTTCACGTGTAGCCTATGAATTTTAATGTAAAACAATACTTATAGTTGCATGATACTTTAAAGGAACATCAGTTCCTCATCTAGTCGTAAAATAAAATTAATAAGTACCGAATCATTGCTTACGGTAAGTATTTCATTAGATAAAAAAATAAGTGTGAAATGTAATAGTGATTTAGCAAAATGTTAGTTTGTCAAAGAATCTCAGTTGTTGATTTAATCATTGATTTAAAATTATATTCAATGTTGTATCTTGCATATCACGAAAGTTCAAACAAAAAGTTTCGTTACATATTACATTGTTTGTTATGAATAAATTACTTTAATAAACAGCTGTTCGTTTTATTTGAGAGAAAGGGAATATAAATGATACAGAAGACATAATTTACCCACATATATTGCAAACTTAATATTGTGTCATATTGAATAATAAATGTACTATTATCACTTAAAACAAATATTCATAATAATATGTATTTCATATCGAGAAGCTATTAAATAACATATAGTAATAATACGATGACGTACAATCAGCATCACTAATTAATGGTAACTTATTATATCATAAAATATCTCATATTTCATACGCAATAGCTTATTATCAATTGAGTATCGCTTAAAATATAGCTTATTTACCCCTTAATAAAATTAAAACAGTTTCATAAGACGGTTTAATATTGATCTTGAATGTAGAAATCAACATTTGATAGAAATTGATATGCCATCAAGATGAACCGTTTATAGCACTGTTTCATTTTTTATTTAAAGTGGGTTAATCTAACAACATCGACAAGCTGCAACAAACACATTGATATAGTACAATGTACAGTCAGCATAATATAATAATAGTAACAAATTAACTAACATATAACACTAAAAGTAGGTACTTAAATGCAGATCCATATCTTAAATACAGTGAACACAACTATTTACTAACCAACCATACAACAATAAAAGCATTTGAAGAGGCGGAAAACAACGTCCTAGTTTATATCGTGGTCATACAGATAGTGTACACAAAATAGGTTTTAATATGAGTTGTCCTGAAATGGGGACAAAGGCTACGGGGTTCGTTGGGACTTTTGTTATAAATATTTGCATTTTTTTGCTATGCGCCTTAAAAATAGTTATTAATTTTTCTCCCTGTATCTACCAATTTTAAGCAAGGCTACAAGTTCCAACGAAACCCACGTGGAATGTGGTCAATTAGGAATAAAGGACGAAGCACACTTATCAACCCGGAAACGTAACCGTATCAACTCGAGGCGGTCAGTATTTTTTGTATGAAACTCTGAACTGCAACGCACTTTTATCCGCACGTAACGAAAATGTTCGCCTCGCGGGGAAAGGCGATACGTTGTTGATCCCTTTTCGGGTTGATAAGTGTGCTATGACTTTAACTCAGCCTATTTACTAAGAAGTATAAAGTGCATATTCTTGCATCTATTTTATCAATTCGCGTTAAAATATTGTCATAAGCATTAATTCTAAAGTATTTCGTAAACTCGTAGCTGCACACGGATAACAATAATTTAACATTTGTTATGTTGTATAATTTAATATTCGATACTACGTTAAAACTAATGGCAAATGAGAGTGCCAGTAGGAATCACAGATAATGAGATATTAAACCGTCATACATAGACGGACTAAACAACAACATCAAAAATTTAAAACTACTTCATATCAGCGACACAGATCATATCTTACTATTTACTAACATTCATAATAGAATGCATTTCTTTAAAATACAGAAAACGGTGCTTTTTCACGGGCAATTATTGTTTTGTTAAGGACAGGTCTTGGAAACATGAAGACTTCATTATTTACAGTAATTGGGGCAATTTATGAAATCAATGCTTCCCCCACCCATCAAAACGGCCGGGCTTGCAGTGCGGTTCAGTTTCAGTTAAAAGCGAGACAGAAGTAGAAAGAAAATCGATAAAACCCAACCAAATGGATAGTAGCCTTTTAAACACAAAATAGAAACAACACACACAATAGAAATCAATATTAAAGGGTTTCACTAACTAATGTTGAATTAAATTAGAAACAATAGTATGTAGACAATGACTGCAATTTATTTATATTGCTCTAAATTCATTACCGAGCTATTTTTGGGAAAATAATTGCCCGTGTTAATGCGCCCGTAAACACTTTGCGAAGGTGATATTTGTATTAACTAAGTAGACCTATTGTGAGATACTTTACTTATCTATGACCGTATTCAATAGAATAACACGGATTTTCGGCAGAAGGGCAGACAGCTACCCCGAACAATGTTATCCGAATTTTCGAATGTTTCCATCCCTCTCCAGCATAGCGAATTGCATGCATGATCCACAGTTTATAAGTATATCAGAATAACAGATAGTTATATTTATTTCACTATGGTACCCAATCGTGAACCAAAATCGGTTCGCAACACACAAACGATAAGTAAATTATAAAAAATAAAGTGGTCCCTAGTCAAAAAAAGGTTGACAACCACTACTTACTATTTAATACATTAACAATCTACGAATAGGTCAGTAAACCGATACTGCATCGATTACTTAATTATGTCTACGTTTTACCAGGAAAGATTGAACACAAAATTAGACTTAATCTTTGCTGTGGACTTTCGTTTACCTGGTCGAAGCTACATCCACTTTCCAATTCTATCAGTGAAATAGCCGGTGGTGGAGGGTGACCTGGTGGATGCGACTGCTAGTGACTATGACGAGGATGTGCCTCCCTTTCATCTCCGCCACCTCAAGGAACCTCACAGACGGGTCGGCATTCTCGTACGAACCTAGACTCTGCACGCTCAAAGTTACCTCAGGCTCCAAACGACTCATCTGAGTGAAGAAAAACTCTGGATTGAAAATATCAACCTGAAAGCACAAGCAAAAACTATCAACAGTTGTAAATGGATTGACCTATTTAAATCCTGGTTCAAGATTAAACTACTGCATTGACACTGCACTAGCCAGCAATCGGTGTCGCAAATTGACCTTAATAGCAAAATGGGCTACAAAACGACCAATAGAGCAGGGAGCAATACGCAAAGTGTACCTATAGGTCAGCTATACGTTTCTAAAGTTAGATAAGCTTATACTGTACCACTATTAAAAAAATTAAATTATATTTACCTTTCCAGACTTATATCCAAGTATAAGCAGGTTCCCGTGCTTCAAGGTACACCTCAAACCTGGACACTCGAAGGTCCAGTAGGACCCATTGTAACCTACGCGTTGTGAGTGGCAACTGGGCACTGTCGAAATTGATAGGGGTTTTCATTTGTGACATATTTTCGAAAATACCCATTTTAAAGGTTTAACGAATAAAGAAACAAAAATATTAAAAATATAAGTAAGTACGTGTTTTAAGTCGGTTTTTAGACCCTCAAACAGTAACTGTCGACAAAAGATCATTTTGTCACATACCCCTAACCCCTTGTATATCATACAAACCTCTAAAAGGGCTTGATGCAGAATGTGCACTTCACAAAATGTGCACTTTTCTATACAAATGTAAAATTTGTTTCCATAAAATTACGGAAAAGTACCCCATTTTAGTAGACCCCTATAAAATAGAGAAATATTTACCTGTAACTATAGCACCATATCTCTCATACAATATCGATTTCGACGCATAAAATGGCAAGTCAAAGATAACGCTGGTCTTCGTTTTAGAGATCAGCTTTAGCTTGATATTTCCGATGTCTGCCATCAACATGCCCCCCCAGTTGAGCAGTGCCACTATGTCGTCTTGGTGTACTATGACGTCAGTTATTGAGCCATAGCCGAAGTAACGGCCAACCATAAGCGGCATCCAACTATTGTTATGCCACTTCGCCACGAATATAGTAAATGCCCATGTGGTATAATAGCAGCAATTGTCATATATCCTAAAAAACATATATTTTTTGTGTCGAAGTAAAGTTTAAAGTACAGAGGGTGTACCAGTGTACACGAAACAAACACAGTTTATCACGTTGATATTGGCTTTTTGCTTAAATGTACCATACGCGAATCATGCACCATACGCGAATCAAAATCTCATATAATATTGCTACAATTTGCGTGTACCACCACCACCCCTATTTTTTACGACTGGAAAATGAACCCTTCAGTCTACTACCACCTTCTAACTACTACAATTCGGGAAGTATGTGATGTTATTCCTTGATAACATTTTTAATATGCTACTGATACCAGTTGGCGCCATTGTCCAGTGACAGAAACATACGCGCCTGTGGCGCCAATTAGTATCGTTAAAAAAACTGGGATTAAAGTAAAGAGGAAGGTGAAAATATTGCCGCTCACAACGCCTAGGTTACAGTGGGTCCTATTGGACCTCGGAATGAGGGCTATTGTTTTTATACTTGACAGTTGGCACCACTGGCGAGTGACAGGACCTTACTCTCTAGTGGCGCCAACCCGGTGAGTGCAAATGCGATAGACTAGTCCTACCGTTGCAGCGCTCATCAGTTGGCGTCACTGTCTTAGCCACTAGCAATGCCAGGGGCTTACTATACAGTGGCGCCAATCAATTGGTGAGAGCTAAAACGATAGCCCTCATTAGTGAAACATTTTGAAAAGGGCTTCGTTTTTGAGATGACCTGTTACACACATATACCTACTTAACCTGTAATCAACCAACTTTATGACCTAGAACAGACTCCAGTTTAAATTCAAACAGTATTTCATGCACTAATTGTCTACAAGTGTTAATAATAAAGGTACCCTTAACGAAGCCTAAAACTACGCATTATTCTATTACTAAGCAATTATAAAAAAGTGCGTGTGTAAAAAGGCGAAGGGCGTGATAATAATTCTATGTTAATTTGCTTTGCAACAAAATAAATTCGCATGTGCGTGTCCCTGCACTACATAAGACATAAGGCACGTGCGACATACGCGCAATACAATAAAATGTTTTTTTTTATAACTTTTAATATGACTTTACGTGATGCAAAGAGTTTTCACATGTTAATAATAATACATAGTATTTGGCTTCATTAAAGATTTATCTTACTACCAATACCAGTCAAACCCCTTTTCAAATCTGCTAATGATCAGTCAAAATGTATGTTGTGTGAGAAATTGTATGCTACCTGAAAAACTTTATCTTGGCATTGAATCTTAGTCTGTCATCCAATGCATAATTGGAATCACTATGTTTCCCATACAAGGTCATCTCTTCAGAAACAAAATGTTGCATGTCAAATGTAGTATGTTCAATTTTGACAAACATATAATCATTTTCATCAAAGTCTAAACCTGAAATAAATTTATAAATTGATAATAACTGCATCAAGTGATTTTATTCTACCTTAAGGCAATATGTATGTAATATACAAGAAACAAAAACAATAAAAACTTAATAAAACTTCAATTAACTAAGGTATCATGTAATGTGCATGTTAAAAAATGAAGTTGAATAAATATTTAATTTTGTGTTTTTAATATTGCTTGCAGTTGTGTGGGTATGTGTAAAGTTCTTTAATAATTTTAATGATCTGTTCACTACAATAACTAACAACTTTTAAAAGAATAATCTCTCATTTAGCATACATTTATTGATAAGAGAGTAATTTCGCCATAGCAATTTATCCTGAAACTGTTACTAGGCAAGCCTAGTCAATAATATAAAAAGGCTTTATAATGGTTTTATACTCACATTTGACTGCCAATGTTTTTAACAGCTTATGAGTGGGCAGATGGTAATATCTCACATTCTTGTTTGTAATCACAATCAAGTTATCTGAAAATTAAAAAAGCAATATAGACACTAGTTGCTGCTTGTCACAAGTTGCTAGTTGACCAGTTAAGGATTCAGCTTAGGTGTTGTACCTAACTGTAGGGAGGAATTTAATACACACTGTGTATACAAAAAAAAATCCTTATTAGATCATATTATTATAACTTTATCTAATTAAAATTAAAGAGTACTAAATTCATCAAATTATTGAGAAAAGTTACTTACTTCTGTATACATTTATATTCAGCACTTCAGTTATATCATAGGTATAAATATCTTGTACTTGAGTAAATTTTATGTCTTTCCAAAGACACATATTGAATAAAACATCTGATATTGTTGGTAGTTTACATCTTTTTCTAAAAGATGCTCCGCCATCAGAAACTGCTATCTTAAGGAAAGTGTGGAGACCAATACGATGCTGTAAATTGGAAAAACTAGTTAAAGTATGTATAAATAAATCATCTCATTTGTAAAAGAAATAGACTGCCACTTACCTTGATAAGAGAAGATGCAATATCAAACCATTTTTTGTTAACACACATGCAATTGATCAGGGTTTTTGCATTAGTCGCATTATTATGGGGATTAAAATAATCAAATATCATCAGAAGAAGTTCAGGTGGGCAGGCATCCCAGCTACTTTCATCAAAATCATCTACCGCCGCAGCTCCAGCCTCCACATGATCTTGCTGCATGATTACTTATATTTTAAAGCTATTTTAAACCATTTGATACTTAAAAACCCAACCGACGGCTACTATCACTGCTACACCAAGAGGATGTAATCTGATGTACTGGTTTTATTGAAGTAGGTTTGCTCAGAATGGGGGTACTTTATAATTTTCTTCTGCCGGTGGTCCAATAAATTCATGTTGTTCTAAAATAATATTTTCAAAGCAGAATTCCTCAAAATTCAAAACAAATCACAATTTTGTAACAAACTTTTACTCTGATAAAATTTGACAGTTTGACTGACACAAGTGACACATGCCAAGCATGACATTACAGAAATTAGATAAAATCGATATCAATTAATCGTGGATAATCGATACTTAAAAGTTTTTACTGCACCGCTATGCACTGACCACAGGGTCCACAGGAGTAACGAAGTCTGTTCTAATTTTTAGGTCTTGTCCTGCTGGGTGTCTGGATCATGGATCCTTTTATCATTAGATTTGTATTCATCTGCACTATGATCTCTCTCTGGTGACTCTTCTCGTTTTCCGCTAACATTATTTGTATAGAAACGATCTCTCGATTTCAAAATGTCTGTATAATCTGTGAAAAAGAACCTTAACTGTCAAAATTATCAAAACGTCAAAACAAAGTTTAGCTTTTGGTTTATTTTGAGGTTATAAACATTACGATAAGTTTTTTTTAAGTTACAATTGGGTAGAAATTAATTTGTTTGACTGTTTTAACGGTTCATATTGTGCATACAATAGTGGTTTAATTGTGCTCATAATATAGGCATCAGATTTTACAAAAATGGTATGTAAGATGTTGTGAAATTCTATCACATTAACATTAAACGTATTCGCATTTTCTTACTAAAATCACTTATTTGTTGTTATTTATTTCAGGCTAGGAACGCAGAAAAAGCTATGTGAGTATAATGATAATGATAATAATTACTTACCTCAATAAAAATAATTATTGAGTGAGAGTCACTTGATTTATCTCTAATTCATATTTACTAAAACCACATATTGAAACTTTAAGTTATTGAGAATTCAATACATATTAGAAATCTTTAGAAGTCACAAAAAATTGTTTCACTTCTGAAGCACAAATTTATTTTAAAGTATTAAACACATATGTATATTAAATTGTTATAAATAAATATGCACTACAGCTCTTTTCCAAACTAGTGTTTGCTCTGTTAGCTAGCACTATCTTACCATCTTAAATGATTGAGGTCAAACATTCAATCGGTTTGAAGTTAACTTGTCAGCAAAATGATACACAATGGAAAACTATTTTTAGCATACATATATCTGATGCGCCTGCTTCTGTGTGTATGAGTTAAAAACCATCATTGATTGCTAGAAAAGACACTAAAATATTTTTTCATGGTCTATCTAAAATTTTTGAATTACTGTTGGAGTTGATTTCAAATTGGAAAAAAAACTTAATTCTAGGAATTCAGTGCTAGAGGTTGCAGGTTTTCAATCTATTTGTTCAATCCATGCATCACCCTCTCTACAAAACATACAGAAATAAGTATTGCATATTGAATATTTCATAGTACTTATTATTATTCTGTGGTATTACCTTGTTTTCCTTCCTGTCTTTTTCAACTTAAAGATTATTTTAGTATCATTATGTGTAAAGTAAAAGGCTAAGTAACTTTCGTTATGCTGATATGGTAGGTGCCCCTCAGTATACAAAGTGAATAATATCCTTGGACATTAAGGTCCTCTAATTAATTGGACATCTTTGATGAAACAAAATATTTCACCGTTGTTTATGGTTTGTATTAATTGTACTTTAATTGTTGAGTTATGACCTTTATTCTTAGGTTTGTATTATTTTCTATAGTCTGGTCGCCGAGCACGTAGAATTTTGTCCAATGACCCCAAGCTACCTATCCTCATCGCTCGCGCGTAATTATATTGCTGTCGCGCTCGCACACTCACTGCTGCCGCTCGTCGCACAGTCGCGACAGCAATGTAATTATATTTATAGCCACGATAACCGAACGGTGAAGGGGTCGGAGTGGCCGACTCGAGATCGGGGTCATTGGATAAAATTCTACGTGCTCGGCGACCAGACTTTAAATTTTCTTTGTCACCAGGACGACACTAGCGCGGTGGCGCGCGGCGCAAGTGCAAGAGGCGGGCGGGCAGCGCGAGCGCAGGCCGTACCTCGCGTCAGAGTGCAACGACCTCCCGCAGGCTGAGAAGTGGCGGCTACAGATCGTCAGGGAGATCGCAAAGAAGGTGGCGCAGATACAGAATGGTGAGTGACTGTTAAAAGTCTAGTGCCCATTTCACCATCAATCCCTAATTTTTAGTGCCCCCTATGAAAACCAAATTCCTGATAAATCTATATCTAATTACCATAGGGGTCACTTAAATTAGGGATTGTTGGTGAAAACGGGCATAGGTTTCTTTTACACAGTACTGTTTACTGTCTAGGCCAGGAGTTCCCAAAGTGTGCGCCGCGGCGCCGCCCTGGTGCGCATAGAAAGTAAAGAGGGGCACCGTGAGTCAATCCTTAACGTTGCGTTGGCGCTTGGAAACCGTTGAAACCCTACCCCTCCCATATCTGTACCCGCCCGTCTTTCGACTGTATCTTTTTCAAAAGGTAGGGCGCCGTGACAAAATACTTTTGTAAGTGCGCCGCGGAATGAAAAAGATTGGGAACCCCTGGTGTAGGCTCTTTTTATGCTCAAAGCGCACTTAAAATAGAGGTAGGAAAAGGCGGCCTGATCTCAATGCGCTCTTAAAAGAGATGGGCGGGAGAAGGATAAGTTAAATTGCGGGAGTTTGCGAATTGCGGACATGCTACTATTTTTATTTTAGCTTAAGCAAACTTGAAAGCTTATTATACTCGTTAACTTATACATCCCTTAATCCCTTACATTTAAAGCAACCGCGCACAACAAGTGTGTGAAGAACTGGTAGGTATTTGAAACTTTTATAACTAGAAAATATCCAATATGATTACAAAAAATTCAACTATTTATCCTTTAATCTAGGTGGCTATGACACATTTTCAAATATGGCCCAACATTAACAAGTTCTGTAAATTTTAGTTTGATTCCAAAAGTAGATAAACCAGCCTAATCATTATGGAAGAATCAGAAATAGTGCAATATCCGAAAGAGCCTAGCTTAAAGTCACAAAATGATCCAAGTATCAGATCTCAAGCAGCCTCCATAGTACAAGAACTTGCATCAATAAAAGAGTCACCGTTACGATTACCTACAGGTTCTTTACAAAGGTCTCCAATAGTGTCTCCTCCGAAAGCAATGACACCGCCGGCACCCATCGGCTCCATTCAAAGTACAAGTTCCAAACAAGGATCCTTGAAAAGTGTAAGAAGTTACAAAAGCCAGTCGCCTAAAAGCCCTTCACCTAAAAGCCAGTCACCCAAAAACTCGTCACCTAAAAGCTCGTCACCCCTACTACAGCCTGAACAGAAAAGTCTAAGCGCAAAATCGAACAATGACGAAAATATTGATGATACCATTGCAACTTTTGAACCGCAAAGTCAAAATATAAGTGAACATATTGATGAATTATCAAATACTATTAAAACACTAGCAAAAGATCTCAAAAGCCCACAGTCACCGAAATTATCTACAGGCAGCAACATAGACAAAATTGCTGAAATGAGCCAACAACTGACGAATGAAGCCAACGCGCTAAGAAAGTCCATCAAGAGTCTGTCGCAGGATATTGCTAAAACCAAAAATGAAAAGAACATAAACGTGAATTTCCCATATCATCTATTCTTAATAGAAATTGTTGTTAACAAGATTCACATGAAATGCGAATGTTTTGAAATAGATTACAATAATTTAGTAATCTCAGCTAGTTTTTTAGGGAAACAGCCTATAGTGTTGTATGATCCCTTTTACGGAAAAATTGAGAATTTCAGTAAACTAAACGTGGGGAAGTCTACTCTTTTTGCTATGACCTACGACAAAATATGTTGCATTAAGAAGTTCGACATCATAATTCAGTTAACGAAACAACCCCCGTGTTCGGAATGCGTCACGAAAATCGGCGAAACTCGCATGGACTATATGAAAGAATTTGTTACCCTGAGAGAAGACCTCTGCAAGAAATGGTCGGAAGAGAAACCAAATGACAACATACAGTGTACAACTTCCACGCAACTATCTAAGAACATGTATTACTTGTCATGTAGTGATGATGAAACTCATGATCCTATAGGTATCATTGAAGTTTCGGTGCGCATGTCTTTTCTTGGCAAAGAGATCACTACAGCATTTTGTTCTTCACCAAAACCGCAGACTGCATCTTTTTTACTAAAACAAGATAACGGAATGACTATGTATTCGTGCCAGAAAGTAGAAATGGACGAACAAGGGAAAATTCTTCTGGATGAAGATGTTATGACAAAAAAGGGATCATCAAGAAATGTTCCAAATAGACATGGCAGCAGAAGATCGGAGAGTCCGATTTCTCAGCTATCTAGTATAGAATCGTCAAAACGTTCATATTATGATCGAAGTCCTGTAACGTATCCAAACAATCAAGGTATTTAAAATCCAACATAACGTAATTTTCAATTTTCTAATCACTGTGAATGTGTCTGATTGGTCACTTTGAAAATATTTTACTGTAATGTATTTTATCTTTTAGATGGAATGCCTAAATATGACGAAATTTTCACCAAAATGAATGCCAATGAGCTCAAAATAAGGGTTCCTAAGAGTACAAAAGTAGAGCGAATGGGAAAATACGATAAAATTCAAGAATTGTGTTCCTGCGAAAGTACTCCCTACAACACAGGGGAACAAATACAATTCGAGCTCCCAAGAGATGGCACATATCCTAATAAATATGGAACTCACACTTCAAATCTGAAATACACATACACAGGCTGTGATAATCGTAAAAATGTTGATAAAGACAGGAAAATCATAAATGTCACTCCAAGTAATTGTCCAGTCCCAGTTTATATGGAAAAAATGGTTCATCCCAATAAGGATGTTTTCATATTGAAAATTGGGAAAAAATTAGAAACGAAGGATAAAAAGACAGATCTTGAAATAGAATTTGTATCCCCAAAGGCACCATCTGAGCAGCCAAAATCTATTGATAATGCCCACATTTCACAGCAGTGCAGTACTGGAGAGTTGAAAGATGGTAAGCCCGCAGGAAACAAGAAAAAAGTAAAGGGGAAAGGGAAAAAAGAAAAGTCGAAAAAGAAAGGAAAGAAAGCAGGAAAAGCCAAAAAGAAGAAATAAGTTTATCTATGTATCAGTATCAGTATCAATAGCTATTCTATTACATACATGGATTGAAAGAGATGAATTTTATTAAACCGTATCCGATTTGGCCATGACCATGAGTCTTTAGAAATAAAGTTTTACGTTATATTCTGTGGTCATTTATTTGATTTGCGTGAATGTTCACTACAAACAGGTATCATTTGGAGTTTCTTTTTGTTTCCAAAGTGTCCCATAAAACTTTACCGTGATTTTTTTTTTCGTTCTAGCCGGTCTTGGAGAATTTAGGATAAGGGATTTGAACGATGAAATCAACAAACTGATGAGGGAAAAACGCCACTGGGAAGTTCAGATCAAATCACTAGGAGGGCCTGACCATGCGCGAGTTGGACCCAAAATGTTGGACCAAGATGGAAAAGAGGTGCCAGGAAACCGAGGTTACAAATATTTCGGCGCAGCCAAGGATTTGCCTGGTAAGTTCAACTCTTATAATTCTATCTACCACTGTGTGGTGTCCCCATCATAATATTATTAAAGGCCTCGATTAGATTAGGCCATGAATGTCCAATGAAATGGATAATACATTTGATTCGCTTGACATAATGTTATCAGAACTGGATACCACTATATGGAAACAGCAACTTACTGCACTTTTCAAACAAAAAAAAAGTCTGCTAGTTCTATTAGCTTAGCGCCAACATTCCAGCAAAACTGCAGCATATCTAAATTCTATGATCTAAATCTATTCACTTTTTCCAAGAATACAGGCTAGGAAACAACTATTTATCACCTAATTTATTCATCTATCAGGAGTCCGCGAGTTGTTCGAGCAGGAACCGCCGCCGCCGCCGCGACGCACGCGCGCAGATCTAATGAGAGACGTCGACGCGGATTACTACGGGTACCGGGACGACGATGATGGCCTACTGCTGCCCTTGGAACAAGAAGCGGAGAAGGATGGTAAGAGCATAACAATGAAGGCTATCGTTTTTATACTTAACAGTTGGCACCCCTGGCGATTGACAGCACCTTACTCTACAGTGGCGCCATCTTGATGAATGCAAATGCGATAGTCCTCCTACCACTTTAGCGCTCACCAGTTGGTGCCACTGTCTTCGCTACTAGCAAGTGACAGGACCTTACTCTACATTGGCGCTAACTGGTGAGCGCTAAAACGATAGCCCTCATTGAATAGTATAGCGATTTGTACTAACCAGGTGGCGCCACTGGCAAGCAAGCCAAGTTACTCGAACGAGAAAAATACTTATGAATACGTAAATGTAAATTGATCACTAAAAACTTGCTAATAAAGGTTATCGCGTTCTTACTCACCAGTTGGCGCCACTGGTGAGCAAAGTCACTTGATGAAACTTCTGCCATTATGTAAATAAAACATTTGTTCTCTCTTTTTCTCAGCAATAGCTCGTGCAGTGGATGAATGGAAGAGCAACAAAGAACAAAATAAAGATCAAGATTTACCAGAAGAGGAAAATATTTATCCAGAAGACGTAAGTATAGATAAAAAACTTAATTTTGTCTATGGAAGTCTCAAGTAATTTTTCACGGTTTCTGCTCCACATCATTGATGTCTCATAACATGTATTTCTCCATAGCCTGAAGACCGAAGAGTGGAAGATGACGACCTTAGCAAAGCCGGGCTGACGTCACACGTGGCGGTGCCATCGCAGAAGGACGTGGAGGAAGCCCTGCTCCGACGGAAAAAGCAGGAGCTGCTGGAGCGTTACGGATGTCTCGACGTCAAAATGGAGAGCTGACGACGATCATAAACTTAAATATAGGCTATTTTTACTGAACTAAATGTGTTTCTTTTGTGAGTGTAAGTAACACCTACCGAACTTTTGCTACTTGATGTGTCGCTTGCGATGAAAAATACGGATTAAATTGCTCGACTCAGTACAAAGGTCCCATATTTTTTATTGGAGCACTAATTTTACGAGTAGTTCCTCAAAATTACTATAGGTCGCGCAACGAGTAGAAATCTAGCGTAGTCGGTAAGAGCGAGATAGCTAGTGTATTCGATGTTTAGATTTGAATGTGTAATGTACTGTTAATGGTCTGTATTTAAATATTACATCAGTGTGAGTACGCGCTCTCTTCAGCTTTCGTTGAGCGACCTATAGCAATTCGGTAAGCTACCTAACAGATTTTATGACTTGTGGTGATGGAATTAAAGACTCAAATCCTCTGCAATCTCTTTATTTATATTACTTTTGTCTATGTTTGGACATTTTTAAGCAAAATATACACAACAATAGTGATACATACTAAGTACATCCAATGCAACTAGGACTCACTGGCCTGAAGTTATTATACATCATATTCATAAATATTTAATATAGGCCAAAATTATATAAAACGATTGCACCAAAGCTACATAATAGTTCAATAATTATTGCCTATTTATTTGAAGACTGGGTTGCCTGCCAGAATTATTATGATTGTTAAATGGGTACAAAAAAGTGTACCTAATCTACGTGAAAATTACTTCTAGTTAAAACAGGAATGTACAAAATTAACGATAAATAAAATAAGCTCTAAAGATTACATAGCATTATTGAGGAATATTAAGTCTGATGAAGAAAGTGATTGATTAAGTTTACGTCACTAAATTGGTGTTTCAAGTAACTCTGAAGTTTTTTATCCTTTTTTGACAAGACTCAATATTCTACAAATTATTTCCAATAGCAAAATATCCAAGAACTGAAGTTTATGCCATCAACGAAATCATTATTAATTATTTATTTATAATAATAAAAATAAAACACATCAATAGAATTGAGTATGTAGATCAACTACTTTATAAATATACTATGGAATATATCAGAAATATAATACATTGCTTCTATTTTCTAATACTCTCGCCACTAAAATTTGCATCATTTATCTATTTATTTAATAACTATGAAACGTGTGTACCAGAATCAAAATTTTATACCCATAAAATCCGATTTATATATTTATAACATCTTACGCGATTATTATATTTTATAAAAAGCGTCTGTTTGAATTGCTTAAACATAAATTAAAATTATAATAGTACACATTGAAATCTAACAGACAATTAGGATCAGCATTCCTTCATCATTTTCAGCAACCTTACATAGATAAGTTTCAAAAAATGTACTATTACTTCGCTGCCAAACTGTTTTGAATAGTGATTATTTTAAGTAACAGCGCCCAATAAAATAGTTATTCAATACGTGATACTATTTTAATGAAATTTCAACACTAAGCAAAGAAAGGTATGATTTGATTTTAGTGGTTGCAAGAATTAAGTTTGAGCAAAACTCAAAAAGCAAAAATATAGTGTTGTATCGTTGCCTTCACTACGCTTAAAATATTATCAAGATTAAAATAACTATTCTATATCTAGTTACGATAAAACGTTTAACACCAATGTTGGGATGCTGCTTTTAACAATTTTAAGCGATAACAATTTCGAAACCTGTTATACAAGTGTTCTATCAGTACATAATATTTGTGTCACTTCGAGTATCAATTGAGATTTTTATAGAACTCGAGTCCGGACAATAAAGAAACAGGAATGATATTGGAGAATGAACAGTGTGCGCATTCAAATTAATTTTTATGAGTTGTTTACTATGCAACTATTACCAGTACGAAGAATTAATAGTGTTATAGACGACCGAAAGTATTACCTTTCCACTTTCCACACAATTTCACAGTGCAGCAGTTACATCACGCTGAACCACTAACTATTAACACGCTTGCGAATGTCATTGACCAAGGAGAAAGTTCGAAGTTACTTTTGGATTTATAAACATATTATGGAATTGTTATTACTTATCATACCACTCGGTTTATAAGTCAAAGTTACACAAATATTTTTAGAAGACAATAAGTGTAAGGGTCGAGCATTCAATCATTTCCTTTCTTTCTTCCTACAGTTACCCATATCTTTATTTTTCCCGAGATGGATTAAGAAATTGAGGGAAATATGTTCGATTAGTTCAATCACTTTTTAAAACGACTCCAGTATATTCAACATTCTTGCTATAATTTTCACTTTGATCAAGTTTAATGATTGAAGCTCGGTCCTAAATAACAACTGACAAAGTGTCATACAAACGGAGTAAAGTGGTTTACTGGAACAAGTTCTGCTGCTTCGCGTCGTTTTCGAAGTCGCTCCACGCGTTGTTTAGCTCCATGAATATCATCTTTGCTATGTTCTCATTGGGAGTGCCCATTTGCTGGAAAGGTGTGTTTAAATCAATGATCTAATATCCGGAGTTTAGAAAAACTGTCTTTGCGTGGTATAGCAGTACAAACGTTTCACTTGTTAAGAAATTATGCTGATTCACATGCAGTTACAAGTACTTACAAGTTTGCTAACTATCTTAGGTTGACTAAATAGGGCTCATAGGACTATATTGTGGTGTAATAGTTATGATGGAGCTCAGACAAAGAAGAAGACCTTTCGTGCGTTTCAGGCATTGGTGGTTGGTGAATTTATAATACGAGGCAAAAAAATTTTTTTAGAGCTAGCCTTGGAAATAGATTAAATATTGAAAGGAAATCGAGTAGGTAATAAATAAAACTTGCAAGTTGAGTAAGTTTTTATGATTGTTTAGTTACCTTATCAGGGTGCACAGCGAGGCAGGCCTTCCTATAGTTCCGCTTGACGTGGTCGGGCGTGACGAGCTGCGACATGTCACAACGCGTCCAGCGGCAGTCATCCCACACCACCGTGTGGAGCGAGCAGAGGAGAGCGCGAATGTTCGCTTTCTTGCCTTCCGTCTGGACAAACGCGTTCATTAAATTACTGAATTATTACTTAAACTATTACGTATACGTAAGTCAAAAGGATTCTTTACGGGGTAGACTAAAGGTCGCTGATTGAAATCCGGCTCGAAGGACCAAACGCTACAGAGTGGACTTTATGAATTTATGAGAATTCGGAGCTGATTAAAACTAGGAGCGTTAATAGGAGAACAGTAGATTGTAAGAAAAAAGTGTCAAATTAAAAAAACAAAATACAAATCGTAGCATAGGATGTGCCAGGTTTTTTTAATTATTTTTTTTACGATATGATTGGTTAATGATCAAATATGTTGATAACATAACAGACTATACTGGTTTGTAGAAAACTAAATAAAACGTCAAAGTTTTAATCGACTAATAATATTTTTTTTTATTGACTCCATTGTTTACTTACCCAATCCCGAATCTTGAGTTTCTCCGGGTCCATATCCTTGGCCACCTCCTCGCGCTTCATAGCGTTCATGGTCTTAGGCCCAGCCTCGCGCTTGGCGAAGTCGTACCCTTGGCTGCCGAGTAAATCGCCGAATACGTCCCCAGACTTCTTGGGTTTCTCGTCCGCTGGCGTCTTGGCTGGCTCGAAGTGCTGACGGCTGGTGAGATAAAGCCTTATTATAATTTGATGTTGTAATATTGCTTAGTGAAATCCGAAAAAAAATAATCGTAAACGGTAGTTATCTTACTACACTCGCGAGCAAAAGTATGAAATCACTTACATGAAGTTGTTTCCACGCGATCTTGTGTACTAACGAATTTGTTAGGAACAAAAAAAGTGGCACCATTTTAAAGATTAAACTTTTAGCTTTAAATTGATACCAAATTCATTTAAATCACACCAGTATTTAAAAAGATATCCCGGCTGATGTGAAGAAGTAACGAAAAAGACATGTATGAACTGTTTGATACGTCGCGAGTTGCGGCCTATTACCCCCTATAAAAGCACGCGTTTTCGGATTTTTGCTTTCACACGTTGATTCATACACATCTCCGCTTCTTTTGACACTTTACCTGAGATTCTACACCTTCAGAAGCAGCACGAATCGTTGCACTATTGCAAGAAGGGCTCAGGCAGCGGGCTGTCGCACGTCGGCGCCACATAAGCCAGTCCTGGGTTTCGAAAGTTTTAAGACGCTTTCGGGAGACTAGTGGCTTTATCCCGAGACCAAGTTCTGAACAGCGCCGGCGCACATCGCAGAGGGAAGACCGTTTTTTTATGTCAACCTCTCTATGAAATCGTCATTTGACTGGAATCGACGTCCAGTAAGAGCTCAGAAATGTTCGTAGGATAGCTGTTAGCGAGTAGACAGTTTGTCTAAGACATAAGCAATAGAATTTAACTCCAAAAAGGCCTGCCACAGGCTCGAAACTGACGGCAGGTCACCGATAAGCACGCTTTCAATTTGCTCGTACACATCTCGATGTTAAGTCGAGCAAGCCACCCCCATAAGCCACTGTTTCAGCGAACCAGCACTGCACAAATCGCTCCTCAGGCCGCCTATAAACCCGACCTCTTCGACTGCTGCCCTGCAAACACAGTTTGCATTCATCGGAGAACAGAACTCGCCTCCATTACTCGCCTTCCCATCGAGATGTGTACGAGCAAATTGAAAGGGTGCTTATCGGTGACCTGCCGTCAGTTTCGAGCCTGTGGCAGGCCTTTTTGGAGTCAAATTCTATTGCTTATATCTTAGACGAACTGTCCACTCGCTAACAGCTATCTTACGAACATTTCTGAGCTCTTGATGGACATCGATTCCAGTCAAATGACGATTTCATAGAGAGGTTGACATGAAAAAACGGTCTTCCCTCTGCGATGTGCACCGGCGCTGTTCAGAACTTGGTCTCGGGATAAAGCCACTAGTCTCCCGAAAGCGTCTTGAAACTTTCGAAACCCAGGACTGGCTTATGTGGCGCTGACGTGCGACAGCCCGCTGGCTGAGCCTTACTTGCAATAGTGCAACGATTTGTGCTGCTTCTGAAGGTGTAGAATCCCAGGTAAAGTGTCAAAAGAATCGGAGATGTGTATGAATCAACGTGTGAAAGCAAAAATCTAAAAACGCATGCTTTTATAGGGGGTAAATTGGCCGCAACTCGCGACGTATCAAACAGTTCATACATGTCTTTTTCGTTACTTCTTCACATCAGCCGGGATATCTTTTTAAATACTGGTGTGATTTAAATGAATTTGGTATCAATTTAAAGATAAAAGTTTAATCTTTAAAATGGTGCCACCTTTTTTGTTACTAACAAATTCGTTAGTACACAAGTTCGCGTGGAAACAACTTCATGTAAGTGATTCCATAGTTTTGCTCGCGAGTGTATAATCTTGTAAGGGTGAGTTGCACCACCTAACTTTGACCGTAACTTTGACGATAACCGGTGTATTTTGTATGGAGTTTGACAGAATTTTGATGTTTGTCAAAGTTAAAGTACGATGGTGCAACCCAGCTTATGACTGGCGTCTAAAGACATCGATATACGTAATTTGGCCGCAATGGCTATGTAGTTATCACAGTATAGGCCACGCCCACTAATGAGGGCTATCGTTTTTATACTTAACAGTTGGCACCCCTGGCGATTGACAGGACCTTACTCTACAGTGGCGCCATCTTGATGAGTGCAAATGCGATAGTCCTCCTACCACTTTAGCACTCACCAGATGGTGCCACAGCCTTCGCTACTAGCAAGTGACAGGACCTTACTCTACAGTGGCGCAAACTGGTGAGCGCTAAAACGATAGCTCTCATTGTATCGTGGCGCCCATGGACACGGAGCCGCGCTCACACTAGATCACACTACAGCAGCCCTGCGCTCTAGTTACAGTCGCTACAGTACAGGCGACTGACCTGTAGTCGGGCTGGTGCGCGGGAGTATGGGCGGGCGAGGCGCCCACACTAGATCACACTACAGCAGCCCTGCGCTCTAGTTACAGTCGCTACAGTACAGGCGACTGACCTGTAGTCGGGCTGGTGCGCGGGAGTATGGGCGGGCGAGGCGCCCACACTAGATCACACTACAGCAGCCCTGCGCTCTAGTTACAGTCGCTACAGTACAGGCGACTGACCTGTAGTCGGGCTGGTGCGCGGGAGTATGGGCGGGCGAGGCGCCCACACTAGATCACACTACAGCAGCCCTGCGCTCTAGTTACAGTCGCTACAGTACAGGCGACTGACCTGTAGTCGGGCTGGTGCGCGGGAGTATGGGCGGGCGAGGCGCCCACACTAGATCACACTACAGCAGCCCTGCGCTCTAGTTACAGTCGCTACAGTACAGGCGACTGACCTGTAGTCGGGCTGGTGCGCGGGAGTATGGGCGGGCGAGGCGCCCACACTAGATCACACTACAGCAGCCCTGCGCTCTAGTTACAGTCGCTACAGTACAGGCGACTGACCTGTAGTCGGGCTGGTGCGCGGGAGTATGGGCGGGCGAGGCGCCCACACTAGATCACACTACAGCAGCCCTGCGCTCTAGTTACAGTCGCTACAGTACAGGCGACTGACCTGTAGTCGGGCTGGTGCGCGGGAGTATGGGCGGGCGAGGCGCCCACACTAGATCACACTACAGCAGCCCTGCGCTCTAGTTACAGTCGCTACAGTACAGGCGACTGACCTGTAGTCGGGCTGGTGCGCGGGAGTATGGGCGGGCGAGGCGCCCACACTAGATCACACTACAGCAGCCCTGCGCTCTAGTTACAGTCGCTACAGTACAGGCGACTGACCTGTAGTCGGGCTGGTGCGCGGGAGTATGGGCGGGCGAGGCGCCCACACTAGATCACACTACAGCAGCCCTGCGCTCTAGTTACAGTCGCTACAGTACAGGCGACTGACCTGTAGTCGGGCTGGTGCGCGGGAGTATGGGCGGGCGAGGCGCCCACACTAGATCACACTACAGCAGCCCTGCGCTCTAGTTACAGTCGCTACAGTACAGGCGACTGACCTGTAGTCGGGCTGGTGCGCGGGAGTATGGGCGGGCGAGGCGCCCACACTAGATCACACTACAGCAGCCCTGCGCTCTAGTTACAGTCGCTACAGTACAGGCGACTGACCTGTAGTCGGGCTGGTGCGCGGGAGTATGGGCGGGCGAGGCGCCCACACTAGATCACACTACAGCAGCCCTGCGCTCTAGTTACAGTCGCTACAGTACAGGCGACTGACCTGTAGTCGGGCTGGTGCGCGGGAGTATGGGCGGGCGAGGCGCCCACACTAGATCACACTACAGCAGCCCTGCGCTCTAGTTACAGTCGCTACAGTACAGGCGACTGACCTGTAGTCGGGCTGGTGCGCGGGAGTATGGGCGGGCGAGGCGCCCATGGACACGGAGCCGGGAGCCACCGGTGGCGCCGCGCCAAGTACGCCCAGGTCGGCAAAGGGGTCCTTCTTGGCTGGCTGCGCTTGTTCTAGCGGCACACTGTGCGGTCGCCCTGAAAGGCAAAGAAAACGGAGCTGTTCAACATCAAGTATTATGTCAAGCTGAAACGGTATCGAGATAATATGAAAGACTGATACTGAGCCCCGATTACGGTAATTTTTAACGTCTCCAATCCAGACGCGCTTCATCGATTCTGCGATACGATTGGTCAAAACAGCTGACGTACGCTGTTTTTTTTTGTGTTTTGACCAATCGTATCGCAGAATCGATGAAGCGCGTCTGGATTGGAGACGTTAAAAATTACCGTAATCGGGGCTCTGGTCTTAATATTAGTAACGTAGACAGCCAAATACAAGAGTAGGTAGGACCAAATACAAAATACATTGCGAGTTAAGATATTCGAGACGGAAGAGGTAAAACAACTGCCACATGACTGACACACATTAACTCTGTCCTATAAGCTTCGATACAATCTTGATACAGTTATGATACATTTAATTTTGCTGCAGTCATGTTGCAGTAAACGCTATACAGTATCAATTAAGTACATTACTATCACAGCGGACAAATTAAGATCTGATATTCTGATCAATCAATTGCCAGCTTACTAACTTTTCATAATTTGTAGTGTCGCATGTTTGTTCGTTGTCGCAGCTTCAAGCAGAATTGGGCCCATGGCGTTTTACTTGACTTACCTTCGTCCTTGATTTGTTGTGGCGTTAGCAGCGGCTCTTGCTTGGGCAGAGGGTCGTTGAGGCCGAAAGGATCGAAGTTGAGAGGGTCGCTGGAGTTCACGTTGGGCCTCTCGCTTGCCTCAGTCGGAGGAGCCGGGAGGTCGCCGAATATGGACTCCGTTGGGAAAGGCTGCTGGAAATTAATTGTTATTACCTATTATACAATGACTTTTTTTAAAATAAAAAAAATGTGTTTGGTATTTCATTGCTGTGAAGATTAACCAATAATAATAATACTACGTATGTTGCAAAAAGAAAAACGTGGGTGGTATCTGTTTGTTGAGAAAAGTAGTGTTACCATTTTCTAAATAAATAAAACACTACTTTTCATACTGATTAATTTTAAGAAATACTCTATGACGATGACAATTATGAAAAAATGAAAAAAATACAACATCTATTATTCGTTTGAAAATTATAAATAACTTGAAAAAATCGAACTGCCTAAGGCGGGAATTGAACCCACGACCTTCCGCTTGCCGGGCGACTGCTCTTCCAACTGAGCTACTTAGACACTGGATGAACCCGTCGAAATTTTCAAGTGTAATACGCTGTTACGGCCAGCGTTTGTTTCATCAATGTTGAGTATACCTACCCTACAAACTACTGTAGGGTAGGTATACTCAACATTGATGAAACAAACGCTGGCCGTAACAGCGTATTAC